GGGCCATGCTACAAATCAAAACTCCTTGAGTTCTTGACTATGGCAGTTTTGTATAACCATGTGGATCAACCAACCAGACACCGCGGTTCAAACAAGTCTTCAATACTTGATTTAATCCTGACTAATGAGGAGTTAATGATTGAGTCGGTTTCATACAACCCCCCGCTAGGTTGTAGCGATCATTCAGTTCTAACGTTTGATTATGTGTGTTATGCCAGTATGGTTGACAAAGAACCAGAAACCCGACGATTCATCACCAACTATTCCAAGCTTCACACTATAGCGACAACCGTTGACTGGGACCTCCAGATGCACACTTCGGCGAATGATGCCTGGCAAGTGTTGAAAGGCAAGATAAACTGGGTCCTACAATCAGCTTCAAAAGACGTACCATTACGAGTTTCGCGACGGAGCAACAACTGGATCCGGAGTAGAACACGTAAGTGGTTGAATAGGCGAGACGAGGCTTGGAGGGGTCATTTGCTAGGTCCAAGTGATATCACGTGGAATCATTACAAAACAGTCAGAAACTACTGCACTTCACTCCTTAAAGCTGACAAGTACGAATGGCAGGAAACTATGGTACGCAAATTTACTAGCAATCACAAACTGCTCTACCGGTATGTGAATGACAAAAGGAAGGTTAAGACGGGAATACCACCACTAGAGACGGTCAATGGCCTAACGGTTACTGAAGAGGAGACCGCGGACGCATTGCTCATGCAATTTGTCTCAGTGACTAGACACACCATGGAACCATCGCCTTGCTACATCCCAGCAAATGTCGTCGGCTTATCTACGGTCAACTTTAGCCCTACATCTGTGGCAAAGAAATTACAGTCGCTCAGGGAAAATAGTGCGCCGGGAATTGACAAGATCTGTCCGAAAGTACTTAAAACCCTTGCACCCATCATGGCAGTCCACCTTGCAACCTTTTTCCAGTTTCTATTTGATTCTCATACACTTCCGTCTGAGTGGAAACGTGGACTTATCACTCCGATATACAAGGGAGGTAAGCGGTCAGACCCTGCCAACTACCGACCTATTACTCTCCTTCCTGTTCTATCAAAAGTGATGGAGTCTATAATCGCTGATGAAATGGTGAGATATTTTGAAAGTCTACAAATCATCTCTAACCTCCAACATGGATTCAGACGCGGACGATCTTGCCTCACCAATCTACTACTTGCTCGGGACTCATGGACCAGGGCTGCTGACGAGGGAGTTCCTGTAGATGTGATTTACTTACACTTTTCTAAGGCATTCGACAGAGTCAATCACCCAGCACTTCTCCGAAAGCTTGCGGCCTATGGTATCCACGGATCCTTGCTCACATGGTTGGAAAGTTACTTATACGACAGAAGAATCGAGGTAAGGATCGCCAACATCCACTCCGATAGCCTATGCGTCACTAGCGGCGTACCGCAAGGATCAGTTCTCGGCCCGTTACTCTTTTTAGTCTATATCAACGACCTCCGTGCCAACATTCAATCACCTATGCAAATATTCGCCGACGATGCTAAGATGTGGCGAGCTATTCAGTCAACATCTGACCCTGTCTATCTGCAAGATGACCTGAACCGGATTCACGAATGGGCAGTAAACAACCAACTACCCCTGAACCCCGAAAAGTGTCACCTGTTGTCGCTGCGCAGTAACTGCAGCAACACATATCACCTGGGGCAGCGCGTTATAAAACAGGTGAGCAACGAAAGAGACTTAGGGGTCATCGTGCAAGAAGGTCTGGGTAATTCGCTCCAATGTTCAAAGGCAGCTAACATAGCGAACTTAAACTTGAGGCTTTTGAGGCGAGCGCTCGGTACCTTCGAGCGGCAACTCGTGCCATTATTGATTAACGCCTACATTCGTCCCCACCTCGAGTATGCGGTGCAGGCATGGCGTCCGTGGTTAAAACGGGACATTCGTCTCCTGGAGCAACCACAAAGAAGAGCCACTAAGGCAACACGTGGTCTATCGGGCCTTAGTTTTGAACTGCGCCTTCGTTCGATCGGTCTGTACTCCTTAGAATACCGACGACTTCGCGGTGATCTGATCCTCACTTACCGGATACTAAGAGAAGAGGACCATCCATGTATGTCGCTGTTAACATTATCTACCGACAAACGATGCCGAGGCCATGCGCTAAAACTTGTGACTCAATATTCCCGTTTAGATTGTAGAAAGTTTTTTTACTCTCTTAGTGTCTGTCCGCACTGGAACGCACTGCCATCGCATGTGGTGAACGCACCAAACATCGAGACATTCGAAAGACTATTGGACTTGCACTTACATGATACACATTATATAACGGTATGACAAACTGCAGTGTCTAACTTACTGATATTTTTGTGTCACACCTGAAACTTTTGTTTTCTTCCATTTGCCATCCTGTGGGTCTTGTAAAGTTATTGCTTTTTATCCCACCATACACTATTGAACTATTATGCGAGATAGCTCATATCCGTACAAAAAGGCAAGCAGTTGTCTCATGATCTTCCCGCACAAAAACCTCGGTGCTTTTGCACATGTGAACAGTTGACCATCAGATGACACTGATAAGCGTTACATTGTGTTACCAAGATTGTTTTGAAGTCATTTGACATACAAATTATTCTATGGAAATTTTGAGGTATCAGCTATTTTGCACACAATAGGCCATTGTTTGGTTGCTACGAAAGTCTCAAGATTTCACGATTAACGGAAAGAGGACTATGTGTACGCGTTTTCGACAGCGACTTTAATATAAGCAGAACAAATAACCGTTACAAATGTGCATTCATGAAATTAAATGGATCGATGTGAATACCCAACTGGATGCTGTGGCGATTGAAGCCATCGGCCTCGAATGACCGAAGGTATATGTTAACAGGACAAGGCTAGGTTGGCGACGAGGCCAAGTTGTGTGCAAAGTTTTGGCTTCAGTGCTAAATGTCAGACCAAAGACGCCGTTAGCGATATTCGGATAAACAGACTGGCACCATCTGCTACACCACGAACAGACCGCAACGTTGAGCAACCAAAGTGTCTCGTCATAACTTCACAGCGAAATACACTTGGCTTTCCAGATTGTTAGACCACCAGACGCACCAGTTATAACTGCATCAATTTGCCTCAAATTGGAAATGAATGACCTTAAACTTTAAACTGGTGTGTCACTCATCAATATGGGATCCTGTATGACTGGTAGTGGCCGAACCCTATACTATCCAACTGCAAAAGGACAATATAGCTGACCAGTCACAAAATTTGGGATACTAGTCACCAGTGGCTATTTACATTCAGCTAAACGAGTTGGTACTCCCATGGAGTTTCACCAGAGATGCTTGCAGTGATTTCACCGATGGCATCCTGTCATTAACTAAATGAGAATGATTACAGGAAATTATGTTTGTTGGCCAAACATTGAATTGGAACCGGAACAGCTGGCAAAATCATATCTGAAATGCGTACTTGTCAGTAAGGCCGCTAGTAATGAAGCCGTAAGACACTATACATGCAGGCACCTATGAATGGACAACTGTATAGCAACGCTGTTGATTCTTTCAGTAAGTGATCTGAATAATGCATACAAGAAGTGATGCGACAATCAATATGTTAAGATTTTTAAGTCAGCTCGAGGTACTAGAGAGATTGGTCAACGACAATAGCTCTCAACTCGCCTCTTCACTATCTGTCGAGCACTGTGCGCTCGTTGCCGTTCCACCACTGGTTCAATTGACAAGGGGAATATCTTGTTGAAACGGTCAATAGATTACGATCGGTCTGTGGTCATAAGGATTACACGCTTGCTTTGCAATCCGGTGGTCAACAGTTCTGATCCGGGTGGGTGAGGGTGACCATGCGGTAAACTCGTCCAACGCGCGAATGTTGGTGACTGCGCAACAGAGAAGCGTCGGTACGGTGTGATAACGCACTGTTAATGCCTTCTTTCAGAAGATTACAAAAGAGGAATCCACACACAAGTGATGCCGGATGTTTCCCACTACGGTGTTGATCAACTCCAACCTCCAGGTGTGACCAGTAGAAGGGTTAATCGATAAAAAGCTCCGCACTTTGTACACTTTACTGCTTCCACAGCGCATTTTCAGAGAGAGGAGTTCCCAAATGGAAAAATACTAAAATTAGTCGCACAGAGGGGAAATACGTCGATTCTACTGTAGGGCAAAGTGTCATCACCAGTGATTATCACAATGAAGACCACAGTGGACCACGAGCTCAAGTCAGAGTAAGTCTTAGCAGTGAGAGTGGACACATTCACTTGGACGAGACATGCAAACTAGATGTGGTCGATCACCAGTGAACGATCGCAACCGCTGGATATTCACAATATCCATATGCATCCTAAAACCCAGTAAAGATCGAACACACCTTGCTAAGTGATCACAAAATACACGAACTTGAATCCACGGCGAAGATAATTGCGTAAGGAAGCTTGTGCTCAGATCCATAAAAGAGGTTGCACGTTAATATTCCAGAGCGATGGTTCAGAGGAATGGTTTGTGTCCATTTCATATATACAAGGCTAGATTAGCATCGCTAAAAGTAGATAGCCAGAATCAACCAATGCGAGTACACGACACACAGTAACCAATGAGATCGAATGACAAGCCCAAGTAATTTCTGGTGCTGGGGATACAAACGGGAGGCTCACTTAGTCATTACTGCAATAACGCGACATCGCCCCGTGGTTACATCGAAAAGTGTTGATGAGATCTTCGTTTTATCATTTCGTGAGTATGGCTGCGCACCATATTACTTATAATAGCTGGAATTTCCTGCAACAAAGCAGATTCTCGTTTAGTTCCAACGAGGCAATCAGTCTGGATGTATATACTCGGTACCGACAGCGAAGTTTTCTTCTGATTTTAAAAGGTCTGAAAATCCATGGGGTTTTCAGTGTCGATGAGGAGATAACTAATAATTCCGCAGGCTAAAGCTTAGGCGCTATGTATTACAACGGAAGTGTCTTATGCGTGACAATGAATAAGGAAAGAAAGCAATTATATGAGCATACGTGCTACTTGGGAAAGGAAGAATACTCCATTCAAAGCGTACATTCGACGCACTTTATTGTGCCAAGTTCAACAGTTTCAAATGAGTTCGAATAAGGCTGGATAGATAGGTTATCATGAGCAAGTCCTTGTAACTGGAATTGATCAGTGAGTCCAGACAAGCTGGGTCCAATTTGGGGATAGAGAGCATAAGCTGAGCGATGGCACGTCCAATATTGGTGTCTGGTCGTCGTTTTCCACTGAGCACGTCATCCACGTATGCGATCACCTGTTCCAACATTCCAGTGAGGTGCTGAGACAACTGGAACAGATGGCGTAAGTCATCACCGAGCTAGGATTTGGAAAAAAGGGGGAGTCAAAGACGGAAATCAATCAGTGGAGGAGTGATCGCTGAAAAAGAAAGATTAAAGTAAAATAGAGAGCTAAAGCTTACTGGTGTTGAGATATCTTAACAATGTGCTTCGGCTCTGCTTAGACGCCAAGGATGAGAGTCGAGTAAAGGACTTCATGTGCGAAAGCAGACGACTTTGGCGCTGGATTATCGGCCTTCACAGAAACGTTGAAAGGGGACATAATCGTCATCATCATTATTATTATCACAAATATTAAAGTGCCAGTCAACTCGTTGATCTGTAGGAAAGTACCACCAGATACGCGTGAGGCAACACAACGCGAAAGTTGAACCGTCCAATAGTTAAGTGGACGCAGTGAAACTAGAAAGAAAAGGCAAATCAGAATAGAGTTGTACGCAGTAACGGCGCGTCGCCGCCGCAGGACCACCAGCAATCGCGTGTGGGCTGAGTATACTGCAAGGACGACCGGCCTACGCTGATTCGAACCGGTGAACTTATGACTGCAAGCCAGGTGTGTAGACCACTCGGCCACTGGCCGACGCACGTGCTACTCTGTCCAGCAGTTTCAAGGTGACATAACAGGCAAGCTAGAGAAGAGTCAACCAAGTCATCCGGATCGATTCTGATCGAGGTACGGGGGCCCTGCCCGCCATGTGTGATCACACCTATGCAGTTCCAAAGAGAAAACGTAACAAATTCGCAGCTCTAAGCGAATGATAGTAACACTGCTTCAGCCCCTGGTCAAGTACGCAAAGCAAAAGGCGCACGATGCTGCTCAGGTTTTATGTATGATGAAAAGAAAAGAAGCAAGGTACCAGCACTAGGTCAGCACACAGTATCGACAGTTCGTTACCGCGTGACCACCAACCAGTGGCGCATGGGCTGGAGTATACCGCGATGTCAAAAGACCGACAGACACAATGCTAGCACATACAAGATAAGCTGGATTGCCACGGTGAAGTGGATATAATGGGCAAACCCAGTGTGCTCGACGATCTGAGTCCCAAAACGGCAAAAAGAAAGAGGAATTTAACAAAACCATGTGAACCTTAGAATTTGAGAAGGAATTACATTTCATGTGCAGTGAAGTCGCCTGGACACTTAGCTACGGGAAACTGAGGCTGATTATGCATTAAATAGAATGAAGAATTATCCTTGCAAGTGAAAATTTCGGATATCCGACACCGAGTAGAGCTATGGTACGTATGCTAACAAATCACGAACGGGAGCTCTGTGCAAGTAGATGGAATATAAAGGCTCGTGGAAACACGAGACCAATCTAGAACAAGCCAGTAAATCAATGGACATTCGTTATCCATAGCAGTGAAGAAATGACTGCATGGATGCGCAGTGCTTTGGAGAATATTCGTCGCAAATAAACAGCTTTATGCTTCTAAGTCAAACCACCTAACAGTGCCGTAGCATAAATAATACATCATCATCATCATCAAACAGCAGTACATCAGCCATTTGAACTGATGCTTTGCTGCCATACAACCATGAGGACCTATGGAATAAAGAATAAGAAGAGGGAAAGAAGGGGGACTTACCTGAAAACCTTAATGCCCTAAGCAAACATTCAGGGTCAAGGCGCCTTCATCTTGTGTAGACAACATACCGTCACAAACAGCTGGCTATCGTGCAAAGATAAGGCGGCATCGGCGAGACAGCCTCCTTGCGGCTTTCACTGCCACGCGTCATAATCAGCCATTACCCCGCAGATAACTCAGCACCAAACACACTTTAAACAGACAATCCGATTAGGAGACGGCAGCAGACGCGCCACTGGTGTCGGTTGCGAGCCATGTCCTGTAAAGTCTCGAGCCAAGCACAAGGTGAGTCACGTGGACTCCAACCCGGAAGGCGAGACGGACCAACGGCACCCAGTTTGGTTGTCAGTGACTTCATTTCCTGCTGCCAAGTCAACTTCTGTCCACCTCGAGCCTTGCGCCCCCCTACACCATGCAGACTGAACAAGGCCCTCCTAGGTAAGCGGTGACCAGGCATGCGTAGCACGTGCCCTAATCAACGCAACTTATTCAGTGCTATCTGTTGTTCTAGGGAGCTAGCATGATCATCACCACCTAGTACTCGCCTACGCACATCATCGTTGCGGACACGCTGGTGCCATCCGACACCAGCAATGCTTCGCAAACAACGATGATCAAAGACTTGAAGGCGCCTCAGATCTGCAGACCGAAGGGGCCAAGTTGCACTACCATAGAGCAGAACGGTCCTCACTGTGGCCTTGTATACACGGCCTTTCAGACGGAGGGAAACTCCCTTCTGTCGCCAAAGATGACGCAGGTTCCAGAAGGCAGCTCTGGCCTTTGCAATGCGTGAGCTCACGTCAGTTTCTATGCGCCCATCATTGCTGATGCAGCTGCCAAGATAAGTGAATTGACCAGCCACATCGAGTTCCTCGTTAGCAAGCGTCAAGGGGTCATCGAGTGGCTGGTGGTCCTGCAGCAACACTTTGCACTTTGAAGGTGCGAAGTGCATACCAAATAATGGGACCACTCTGGATAGGCTATTCAGGGTTGATTGTGCCGCCTCAACATTGTCGAAAAGCAAGACGATATCGTCCGCATAATCTAGATCAACTAACCGTTCACCAGGCAGCACTTCAACACCTACATCGTGAGATTCCGCAAGGGAACACTCCATGATACAATCCACGACGAAATTGAACAAAAATGGGGAAATCGGGCAACCCTGTCCAACGCCACTTGTAGTCGAAAAGCTATCCGATAGGGCACCATAGACCCTGACGCGGCCTCTAGTGTTCGAGTATAGAGCACGAAGGATGTTCACAGATTACGTGGGAATACTTTTCCGTGCAAGTATTTCGAACAGAATCGGTCGATCGACTGAATCAAACGCACTCTTGAAATCGAGGAACACAGCTATTGTCGGTCTGCGGTATGCGTGGCGCTGCTCTAGCACCTGCCGCAAAGTAAATATATGGTCTATACAGCCACGTCCTGGGCGAAAACCGACCTGCTCTTCTCTAATCCGAGATTCCCGTTCTGCAGTGAGGCGACGAACGATAATCGACGGCCAGTAATTTTGTCACAACTGGCGTTGGTCTAATACCCCTGTGGTTCGCACAGTCTGTGCGACTGCCCTTCTTGTATATTGCCACTATAATCGATTCGCTCCAATTAGCCGGCACACGCTCTTCGTTCCAGATACGTTCGAATAGGGAGGTCAGTGCTTTGCAGAGGACCTCACCACCATCCTTAAATAGTACAGGTGGTAGGGAATCCGGGCCAGCGGCACGAAAACGATTAAGGGCTGTGATTGCGTTTCGGACCTCGGCCTCCGACGGAGGCTCTAAACTAACCGTCCATGACTCGTCCTGCATCACCTGAGTAGAAAGAGGTCCGGGAGCAGGGGGCCAGATGAACTGATGTTCAAAGTGCTCAGCCCAACGAGCCATACGGCGCTCCTTATTGTGTATCAGCGCACCCGCGCTGTCCCTGATTGTCTCACTGACGCCTGGTTTTCTCGGACCAGTGGTGAGTATTAGCTGGAAGAGCTTCCGGTAATTGCCTACTGCTCCTGCCTCCTCCATTTCTTGAGTCTGACTGGTCCACCAGGCTTCCTTGTCAGCACGTAGGCTCTGCCTTATTTCACGCCTAATAGCCCGTCTGGTCACATTGTGCTCAGAACCAGCCGGGAGGTGCCTTCTAGCTTCCGAAAGGTTCACGGACCTCTCGGATATCCAGTGACTGGTGCGATGACGACTGATAGTGCCACAAGCAGATGCTCCTGCGTCGTGCATAGCGGCCGAGATCTTATTCCACTGAAGTTCAGTATCATTAGGACAAGACAGCGAGAGTTCGCTATGCAGTGCTTCTTGATAGGCTTGCCTGACAGAGGGCTTGGACAATTTCTCCGTTGCCAATCGGGGGAGACGCTTTGTGCGCCTTCCGGTAAAGTTCATGGAGAAACGACAGCGCACCAAGGCATGGTCAGAGTCGACACAGGTACTCCAGTACGAGCGGCAATCCAGAATGGAACAGCGCCACCTGTAACTTATGGCTATGTGGTCAATTTGGGTCCATCGTTGACCAGCTACAGGTGGACGCCAAGTGGCACTTCGGCGCCCACTGTGTCTAAAAGCAGTGCTAGTAAGAAACAACTGGTGCTCCGCACACAGTTGCAGCAGACGCTCGCCGTTGTCAGTCCGTTCGGAGTTAAGTCCATACTTACCACCCAGCTGAGCTTCTGAAGAGCTCAGACGCCCTACTTGTGCGTTCATATCCCCTGCAAGTACTATAATATCTGAACTAGTAGCACTGCGTAGCAGCGTGTTCAGTTCGTGACAGAAAGTGTCCTTGACTGCATTAGAACTGCAGTCCGTGGGAGCATAAGCAGAAATCACAAACAAACAGCGTTTTGTTTTACTTCGCGAATTCACCCTAGCTGATGTCGTCAAACGGGCTGCACATAAACGACTGTTCACCGGAATCCAATCAACCAACGATAACTCAGCCTTGGAGTTGAGAATGATACCTACACCAGCTTGACCCGTGAGTGCCGCATCGGCGTCTCCGGATGCGTGCAACCAATAACGAGAGGATAAGCCGGGTGCAGTCAATTCAATAACCCCGTTAGGGTCATTAATCCTAGTTTCGGACACACAACACACATCAACACCCAGTGTGTCTAAGGTGCGTGCGAGTGCAGCCTGCTGACCTGTTTGTCTTAGAGTGCGGACGTTGAATGTCGCCATGGAAACGGGACAGCGTGGTCTTATAAGGGACTTTTGCCGACAGGCGTCCGATAGGTGCGGTGGGATGGTGGTGCAGATGGTTCTACTCCAGTAGCACTTCGGTTGCTGTCAATTAAGCTGGGAATTATAGAAGGAAGGTTAGTAATGGGGGCCGGGATGGGAGTAAGAGAAAAAGGTGGAAAAGAAAGAAGGGAGGCGCCAGCAGTAGCATGCTTTCGCTTATCCGCTCTGCTGTAT